ACCATCTAGACCAGTGGTTATCAACCTCGGGTACACAGTGCTTTGCCAAAGGGTACATCTGTGCCTACATTTTAATGATGGTGGTGGAGCTTCCGGCTGGGTCAGTGCCCAGTAACTAATGGTGCTGCCGAGCGTTAGTGTCAACACTTTTCAAAGGCACAAACATGCCGAGAAGTTGGGTATGGGGGATATGAACAGTAATATTTTGCGGGTAAAGGGGTATGCAGTCACAAAAGTTTGAAGACCATCGCTCTAGGTCCCTTACCAAAGCCTCTCTGTCTTCGTGCTATCATGGAGAGAAAACACACGTACAGATCAGCACAGCCAAACTAAACAAGATGGTACTCCTTAAACTGCCAGCCTGGGACTCAGTCTCACCTCTGAATTTCCTTACGATGATCCCTATCCTCAAACCCGTACCCATGCTTTAAATGTCCCTACTCATGTGAGCATCATACGGAGCCCAACATGTGCTCAAAGTGCTTCCCTGAATCCGAACCTCAACTAAAAATGTCTATAGAAATAAGGGTCGCCTCATTAAATAACGGAAGCAAGACTGGATAATAGCAATTGGCATTTGTTTTTCTTTAATAATTTATTAGCAGACTTATTTTCTTTGTGTCTTTTTAAGGCACTTTAACGATCATTCGAAATGATCTATATCATGGTTTTGGGAGATATTCCTCAATGCCTTGCTAATAGCAACCTATTCCTCTCTTTCTCTTCCAAAGTCTGTGGATCAGGTAACCAACAGGCTCTCGGCCTACCTGCCTGCAGCTCCGTAAGCAGAACCAGTCTGCTGGGTCACTAGGAGAAGGGTATTTCCAGACACAGCAAAGCCACCCAGTTTTTCATGTGGCCTCTGCAAGTGCAGGAAGGTTATCCAGCTCCCTGCTGTACAGCAAAAAACCTTATTTTAAAAAGAAGTTGGTCAAATATTTTCTGTACTTGTACTTCTGGGCTTGCTTTTTCCCAAGGATTTAAGTTTCATTCCACTACCGAGATGGCACTTTGGTCCCCCGACGGCCCTTTGCAGTGCAGTATAGGGTCGAGTAGGAAGAACTGAGAGTGCGAGCACTGGGAAAGGAGGAGGGGGTAATGGCAGAAGACCAGCCTGGTTTAGCAGGGGACTCTTCAGTGAGCTAAAACACAAAAAGACAGCTTACAAGAAGTAGAAACTTGGATAAATGACTAGGGAGAAATACAAAAGTATTGCTTGGGCATGCAGGGATGAAATCAGGAAGGCCAAAGCGCAACTGGAGATGCAACTAGCAGGGGACATGAAGGCTTTCTGTAACTATGTCAGCAACAAGAGGAAGATCATGGAAAGTGCGAGTCCTTTACTGAATAGGGGAGGCAGCCTAGTGACAGAGGGTGCAGAAAAGGTCTTCGTGGGCAAGGTCAGCTCCCAGACTAGTGCACCTGGCAGCACAGTCTGCGGGGATGAGCAGCCAGCAGTGGTGAAAGCACAGGTTAAGACTATTTAGAAAAGCTGGAGGTATACAAGTCCATGGGGCTGGATGCGATATACCCGAGGGTGCTGAGGGAGTTGATGTGATTGCAGAGCCACTAGCCATCATCTCTGTTTGCCCTTTTCCAATCAGCTGGTGCCTCTCCTGATCACCATGAGTTTACATAGTGCCCATATTTAAGAAAGGGAAAAAGGAGGATCCAGGGAAGTACAGACCGGTCAGCCTCACCTCAGTCCCTGGAAAAATCATGGAGCAGATCCTCCAGGAATCTATCTCGAAGCACTTGGAGGAGAAGGTGATCAGTCAGCATGGATTCAACAAGGGCAAGTCATGCCTGACCAACACGATTGCCAGTAAATTCCATTAAAAAACTCTGTTAAAAGAACATTGTTTGCAAAGTCGAGCACTCAAAAGTCAGAAAAAAACCAGAACTAAGTTGTCTCTGCATCTTGAAGATGTCCATTGTCTCGGGACTCTTGCCTCATTTGTTGCAGAAGCTGGACAGAGGGCAGTGAACAGGGCAAGGGGTTGTAGGAAGGAAGATGATGGCCCCATGGTTAAGGCATTTGAACACCATTCTAGAAAAAATGGATTCTGTCCCTGCTTCTGCCACAGCTGTCTTTTGTGGTGCTGGACAAGTCATTCACATCAAACTTTTAACAGGTGGTCATTTCTGGTGGTCCCTAACGATGCGCTCTTCGCCTTTCCAGTATCCAGCTGGAAATGCTGGGGTCAGAAGGGATAATACTGAAGGCAACTGTGCTGACTGGATGTTGTATTTGAAGATACAGAGTGCTACATAAGAGCAATTACTCTGAAAAATCTGGCATTTGGAATCTCAAATGAGCACCCCAAATTAGCAGACACTTTTGACTTTATTCTCTCTGTGCTTCAGTTCCCATGTGAAACAGAGTTCCTAGCACCCATTCATATGATAGAGCATTGTGAGAATAAATATATTAATATTTATGAAGCATTTTAATGCTATGGTGATGAGCGCCACAGAAAAGTCATGCATAAATGAATAATAATATATTTAGAGCTGGGTGTGGATGGTGTGAAGTAAATGTAGTCATGGGATAGGAATTGAACAACGAGGATAACACAAAATATTAAATACCTGCTCATTAATTGATCCCTGTCCATCCTGTGCACTGAATGAACCAGGGGCCCTATGGAAACAATATTGCGCGATCATGTCGTTAAAAACTGTATCACAGTGCACAGGTACAAGGGAGCCAAATTAAAGTTGTATGGGGTTCCCTAAATCTGGCATTACTTATATTTTAATGCTTGACCTTGCCACGGTTTAATGATATTTTAGCAGGTTCTTGGCTGCAATTCCTGCTTACACTAGATTTTTTTTTACTTTGCAATCCAACCACTGGAGGGCAACCTGATCACAAGTACGTAAGCACAGTCAAGCATTTTCTCCTGCAGAGGGAATTAGTAACCGTGATTACTGGTAAGTACGCCTACATTCAACACAGGGTTTTCTGAGCCTAGCATCATGCAAGAAGTCAAAACATCTTTTACCTTTTTTTGTGTGTGCTTATTTTGAAATGTGGTTTTAAAAGATTCTCCCAGATTGAAGATTTATTACACTGGGTTTCTGCTCAGGCTAACATTTTTCATGACTTAGCTCTAAACCCCTGGATTATCAAAGGGATTTCTGCTGGAAGCAATTAAAGACCCTTTCACCCAAGTGTTGCAAAAGGCAAAATGCTATTCAGTGTAACAGTACTGCAAGCCTGACAGATGTTCCTGGTATTAAATTCATCCTGACATGTTTAGATTTTGCTGGGTCAGGACAGTGATTCTCAACCGGGGTGCAGTGGCAGACATGATTTGCAAGATAAACCCAGAGATTTCAAATGGGAATCTATAGTGGTAAAAACATTCTGATCTCTTTGCAACAGAAAAAATACTCTATTTTCTGTAGTAAAAAAAACTGGTTAGAACTAAAAGCTGGCATTTTTTGAGGGGGTCTTACATCTAAAAAGGTTAAGAACCGCTAGGTTAGATGGTTAAATCTGTTGCAACGTATATTTCATTACGAGGGTTTAAGTGGCTATGACTAAGAGGCCCTTATTTGACTCATCAGAATAGGCATATCCCCACAGAATCTGGTTCTTTAATAACATGTCAAAGGAGCCGTCTAAACCAGCGAGGCTGGAGAAGTGGAAACCTGCCTACAGAATGCCAGATAGAAAGAGTTAAGTGGATCTTGGTGAAAATGAAAGATAAAGGTAAATCAGGGAGGAAGGGATGATAAATATGGAGCCAACAATGTCACATGAAATGGCCCCAAAACTAGCAGAAAAGCAGGCAGCTCACACTAGAGTTAAGTGGAACTGCATTGCCCACATTACCCAGACCCGAGTTATCTCACGGGCACCGTCTCGCCCTCCACGTGCTCTCAGTTTCACCTTTATCCGTCTTGCATCACTGCACGATGGCGCAGCAAGCTTTCCGTTTGTGTGCTGCCTCAAGTGATCCAGCTGCCGCTGGTGCTTTCCTAGAGAACGCTTTTGTATGCTGTGCTTCTAAGATGAGACATTTCATGGAGCGTCTGCATTTCCTTTGAGGGTTCAGTATAAGCCTTTAGCATCCTCTCACTTCTACCTTCCCACCCCCGCTCCTGCATGTGCACTTGCAGACATGTGCACATGCACATTCTGGCTAGCAACACTATTTAATCCACACGGCACAGGGATTTGTCCTATATCTATCAAATCAGAGAGAGAGAGAGATGGAGGGAGAGGAAAGAGGGATCCTGCGTCGGTGTGTGAAGCAGACGGCGAGCAAAGCTCCACTCTGCCAAGGCTGCTCTCACCATCTTTTCCCAAACTGAATGGAGAATGATTCCCTTGCTAACCTCATTTGTCTGCCTGCACTTAGAAGTGGACTGGAACGAGGGTGAAATGAGGAAGGCTTGAGGAAGCACTGGTTAAAGAGACAGTATCTGCCTGCTTTGTGTCCTCCCTCCCAAACCATGGGGTGACTTAGCAGCTTTCACAAATGCCACGGGAGGTTATTTTCAGCCTTTACTTCCTATGCCTCTAAACTCAAATATGTATCTCTGCCTCTAGAAGTGGAAATAGCCTTATGTAAGCAGGGCCAGAATCTGCTTAGGCACAGCTGAGAGGCAGAGCATCAGTATGATGGAGGGCATCTCTGTGCAGCAGCTACTTGAGCCGCTGCCAGCACCAGAGACCATGCCCTGTTTCTCCTTTTTGTGTATACACCCTGGCACTAACCCATGAAATTATCACATGTTCAACATTCAGTCCAAAATTGTAAAATCGTGTGTCTGTTGGGCGGGGAGACAACAGGTACTTTTTAATTTCATTCCAGGTGATTTCTTTTCTGAAAGAATTTGGATCTTTTGTGACATCTTGCCAGCATTTCTTGTGAGAAAAAGCAAATGTTCACATTTCCATATCTTTCAATCAATAGTTTTTCAAGTGATGACCTTGAAACAAATTTCACAGGCATTGTTCAAAATCAGGGTAACTTTTAAGAACCAGACTGGGATTGTTTTGTTTTTTCGTGGTAACTTTTATTGGACCCGTGACATCTCTCGAGAGGGTGGAATAGAGGAAGCAGCAGGCGCAGCAAAGAGATGATGGAAGACACACAACCTCATCAGAGCGCAGGGCTCTGCCCTGGGCCCCCCCTTTGCCTCTAGGAACGAGCCCCGTTCTCTTGCTGCCGTACCTGCAATCTTTCAGGTGCGCACACCAGAGTAACAGGCCTGTGCATGTCAAATTTTGGTGTGTTTTTTTTCAGGCAGCCCCAATCCAGGTGTATAGCTTTTGCAGGCTGCTATGTAATTCTTTCCGCTTTAAAGATGTAATTACTGCAGTTTGCTCTTGGTCAGGAGAGGCTAACTCCCATAATGCAGAATTGATGAGGTCTGAGATGTCTTTTTTGCTAGATGGTAGTAACACATATCATGGAAGGAGAGACCAGCATAGCATATGGTTATTACAGATGTTTTATCATTAGTTGCTCCATAGTGTCCCAGCTGTCAATTGGGCAAATTTTTTTTTAAATTACAGGGGCGCTCAGTTAAAAATTAGTGCTTTAAAAAATCATTGAGTGTTTGTGGTTTCCTCACACACTTCTACTATGTTGACATATTAAGGAAAACACCTAGGATGACACAGAGATACACATAACTGTGTGAGTACAAAGGGCAACTTGCTGCCAATACGTTTGGGTTTTTTAACAGCTGGGATATGCTGTAGAACAGCGATTCTCAACCAAGGTGCCTTGAGATCCAAGGGTGCCATACAGTGTTAGTACTATTAGGTGCAAAAACATGATTCACATGGTAAACACAGAGATTTCAAATAAAAATGCAGTGTTAAAAACATTCTGACCTGTTGCGGTCTTTCTGATTTCTTTGCAATAGAAAAATTGCTGTTTTCCCACAGTCAAAAAAATGAGTGAAAACTAAGAGCCGGTATTTTCCAGGGGGGTGCCTTGAGTCTAAAAATGTTGAGCACCACTACTGTAGAAATACTAGAGCTGCTCAGACTGGAAGCTCTCACCTCAATGGTCTGATGAGAAGCACTGAAATACAAGGCAGAAGGAAGGAAGGAATAAATAAGACAATTTCTCTGTGCCAACAAAACCAGGCCTTGCTGGACTAGCAGCCAGAATTGTCACAGTAAAAGTATTTCAGTCTGGCGCTCATATCTGGAGTGGCTAACGAGGCAGTTGCAGGTGTGCCAGGGAAACAGCTTACCATAAAATAAGTTCTACTTACTCTATATTTATATCTCCCACTTGCTGTATTTTCTAATGGGGATAATTGATCATCTCCTCCCTCACCCTTAGGGTAGCAGGAGGGACTCAAAATAGTTCAAGTTACTCAAAGGCACCTTGAAATGGGTAGGCCTTAATGTGTGCGACTCATGGAGCATGTCTACACATGCAAATAATGCAGGATCAGTTTAGTCTAGAGTAATTTACTCTAAAGTAAACTGACCCAGGCAGGCGTCTACACATGCAGGGTCCCAGGAGCAATTTGCTGCTCATGGCAGCAGTCTGCTCCCACTCCCACCCACCAGCCCTGCACTGGCCCCCTGCAGCAGCTGGAGGGAGCTCTAGGCTCCCCGTGGGTGCTAGCCCAGGGACTGGCAGGGAGCAGGGATTCAGGAGACAGCTGTTTCCTGGCAGGGGCTGAGACATCTGACTGGGCTGGGATTCCCCACCCAGCTGAGGGCTTACTGCTAGCTGCCCCACTTGTGGATGGGGCAAGGAGCTGGGACCTGCCCCACACCTGCAGCTCTTTCCAAGCCCTGCGCCTCAATTGCTTGATCGGGGCATGGGGTTGGGACCTGCGCCTGACCAGGACAGTTCCCAGCCCCTGCTCTACTACCATGGGGCAGGGGCTAGAGAGCTTGCCCTCTGCCATCATGGAGCTGGGCAGGGAACAGGCTCCCCAGCCCCCACCAACAGGGAGCTCCCAGCCCCTGCTCTGCAATCTGGGAACAGGGGCTGGAAGATCCTCATCTTCCAGCCTGAATCCTCCAGTTGCAAGACCCAGGCTGGGACATCCTTATTAATCAGGGGACCGGGGCTGGGAGACCCTTCTCTCCCAGCGCTAGCTTTGGGATCACAGGGCCAGCACCGGGACATAAGGATCTCCCAGCACTGGCACCGTGATCGTGCAGCAGGGGCTAGGAGCTCCCTGCTGCAGGGGCAAGGGGACATTGTTCCTGCACCCCGGCAGCTGGCAGCCCCCAGGGGTAGGGAGCAATCTCCTGTTCCCTGCTGCCCAGCAGCACATTTGCTCCCGGTCAGGGGGTCTGCATGTGCACTACTGCTCAGTTACTAATCATGAGTAAATTTGCTACTTACATTTGCAGATAACAAATGTACTCGTGATTAGAGCCAGTTACTGCACAATAAGCATCTGCTCACATAGATGCAGATGCTCACTGTACAGTAATTAGCTCTACTGTGCAGTAAAGACACCCATGGGGACCCTCCAGTAACACAAACCCTGAGGGAACGCACTGCTCTGTTGTGGGACTGCTCGTCCATTTGCAGACACAGAATGTGTTACTGAATTCAGATCGGGGCGGGGGGCGGCGTTGGGCACGGGATTGTCCTGTGAAGCTAGATTTCTGGCTGGAAATAAATGATCGGGAAAAGGAACTACAAACAGAGAATTCACATCTGAGCAGAAACTTTAACTTTTCCAGAGGTTAAGTACCTCAGAAAAGCACTTCTAAGAGCACTTCAGGTCAAATTCATCCCTGGCATAATTGATTTCAACAGAGCTAAACCAAGAAAGATTGTAGCTGCCTGCTTTTAGCTGGCATTTTATGTCTTAGTTCACTAAAAGCAAGGGCATTTATTACACGGGGACAAGTCCTTTTTATCATCTTGAACTCAGACTGCCTCTTATTTTAATGCATCCTGACAGACTTTAACCAGAATATAATGATGAGAAATTAAGGAGACTGGAAGGTAATGGGACTGGATGGCTTGTGGGGGATTAGTAAAGAAGCACTAAACCACATTTTTCTCGATTGCCTGTTCAAATGCAGCCCATATTGATGGGACCCAAGGTTGGCGCTGCATGGCAGCTGTTTGGTGGTCTGTGTGAAATGGGTTTTGAGAGTCTTTCAATCTATGTGCAAATAAATTTAAACAAGCAACCCCCCCCAAAGCCTTATGACACTAACTAGTCCTTTCTTAACCGTCTCTGAAGGGACCTCAGGATGTAATGGATGTAACCTTCATGTAGATTTAAGCTGTTTCAAAGTGTTGGCCCTTTCTCCTCTGCTGCAGCAACACAGGAAACCCACAGCCCCACTTTCCATCCTGTCCCTGTTGTGGGGACAGAGGACAAATTTCCAGGGCTGTTGCACCATTTCCTCTGATACCATCTTGTGTCCTTCTTCTGCAGAAGCCAAATCTTTTATTACTTACAGTACAGGACAGCGCCATGTCTTGCTTTTGTCTGATGAAGAACACCTACACTCTTCATTTCCTGGAACCAGAAGGCCTTCCCATAGTCCCTATCTCAGGTGGTTTTCTTTTGCAGGACCTGAAAAATCATACTGTGAAAAATGCAGGAGATAACAGTAGTAAAATACTACAGCTATGTGACATTTTTGACTGAAGCTTGTTGTAATGCTTGCTAAAGGATAACAAGGTGTTAAGTCAGTCTTGGGTGCAGAAGCTGAAGTCAATGACTTCAAATAATCCAGCCACTATCATTTGAAAGGTACTGGCATTAGAGTTGTATCTCCACCACGCGGTGCTCAGAGCAAGAGGCTGGCAGGGGAGGGGAAGAAATCCCAAGAGGGGATAGGGGAAGAAATAAAAGAAAAAAAAGAAGAGTTTAAAAAATCACAACCCTGAAGCTGAGCTAAAGGGCTTATCTATAGACGGACACTCACAAAAGTTGCACTTTAGGTAATTTAAGGTGTAGTCAAGTATTGTCAGGTAAATTGAATTAAGGCGACTTTAACTTGGAATAAGAGTGTCTATGCAGGAATTTTATGACCTTTAACTAATCCACTTCCAGAATTAATTCAGATTAACCTTCCTCCATGTAGACAAGTCTTCTGCAACAGACACTACCAAGGAGCAGACTAAACCCTGGGCCCAGAAGCAGGGCTACCAAGGGTAAATTTGGCAGCCTAAATCTTGACCCTCCTCAGGCGGCATACATCATGTGAGTATTCACCTGCAAATCTGTCCCTCTAGAAATGATGAGCTCCAATAGTCTGATCACCTTGGTCCCATCTCACCGTGTCCTAAGCCCCCAGCCCTCCTTCAACCTCCCTACTGGCTGATGGGATGAATTCCAGGTTGTCTGTCCCCCCAGGCAATGCAATCCCATCCTGTCTAGCAGTATGGCACTATGCACCTCATGCCAGGACACTGTTGGCACTTGCAGGAGTATTCAGGGAGGCTGCACCAGTTTGAAGTCACCTGAATCTATTTGAATAGTGTCAGATCTCCACTCTATGACTATTCTGGTGAATCAAATACCACTGCTGTACTCTACCCTTCATTGGGTAGTTGGTATGGGGGAGCGGAGTCAGATTTTCCAAGGAGATGCCTCTGTTGCTTGGGAGCAGAGAAAAAGGTCTATTAATAGCGATTCCTCTCATTCCAGGTACAGTAGTACTGCTACTGTACTGCTCTTGCATAACTCTGCATGGGCTGCATTTTATTTGATGTTTCTACCCATTAAAGGGAAAACTAAATTCAGAGAGTCCCCTTGCAACTGATTCAGGCAGATGCATGTTGTTGAAGCAAATTGTTGGAGTTGTAGAAACGCTTCCTAGCGCAACTCTAAATAGCAGCTAATCATCACCCTACCAATATTGTGTTTGTCTGTAACAGTTCTTCCTATTTTGGTAGGCAGCGCCAGCCTCCCTAGGAGTTCTCTGGGCTTGGAGCCAAGTAGATACCCAGCAAGTACAAATCAAATCAGAGTGATTATTTGTGTAACAAAGAAGCAAAGGTTGAAGCAAAAACAGTGCCCAAAGCACATTGCAGTTCTATACAGACAACAGCCAGTCAGAGGATGTTTAAATATTTTCAGATACAGAATACATTGGGCCTCTAGACAGAGACAATTTATAACCATTCATTGGCACAAAAAAACCAACAGCATCCGTAGCATCATGTGGTTTTTTAATAGAGTCAAGCAAGAGGATAAAAGCAACCATCTTTCAAAGCCAGAATCATCAGTAATCTCCATCCAGGCCAGCAAGGATAGGAGAAAGGACAGGCAGTCAAACCAGCAGAGACACGGTAGCTTTACATTGAAAACTACATCCGAGCAGGAGCAGTCAGATCCGCGTCCCACCACTGGAATTACAGGAGCGCCCCTGCAATTAGACAATGGCACGTGGGAAAAAACGCACGTAAACTTGTACACGCAGCAGGGAGCGGAAGGAGGCAAGGAGTTGTGCTTTTTCTTATTATATCACATGATTAAGCTTATTGATATTTTGCAGCATCAAGCAAGTTATTTTGGGGTGGGGAGAATACTATCCAGAGTTTTGGTTTTCAAAAGACAGGAATAAAGCTATTCAAATAGCACCAGAATTACTCAGAGCCTGAGCTTGCTCACACTGAGTGACGGAGCACCGATTCATGACAACAGGAGAGGAAGCAGGCCTAGTATCAGTAGAGAAATAGAAAATACATGATTGTTCATATGAAGATGACCCATAAAAATGATTCGAGGATGCCCAGCAGTACAGCTGCTACACCTGGGGGTTGAATTTCTCTGCCTCTTTCAAGAGTTATGTGGCAGTAAGAGGCGCAGATTTGGCTGTGGTCGCTCCACTCCAGCAGGCTGCTTGCAATGTTCGTGGTGAAACCAACAGCAGAGCGGAGACTGGACGTTTTACAAAGCTGTATTCTGTAAAGAGTGTCTATCATCCAAGTTCTCTGGGGTCTAGTGGGCCCTTTGTGCCACAGACCCAGTCCCTTTAAGCATCTACGTTTTGGTTTTAACAGTGGCCGAACTCCTCCCTTCCCTCTCAACAAAGATCCTCACTTGCCCTCCTTCCCTCCACACCACACTTACTGCAAACTATATGCATCAGACCCAAGGTAAACGAGGCAATGCTACTGCTCTGTTTGCAAAGCGGCTGGCAGCGACCCACAAGGCAGAAGAGCGCGTGTGTGTGGTAGTGGCGAGTGGCGTGCCTTTGGATGCCTGACTTCCTCCCACCTCATCAAATTTAAGCTCTTCCTCCACCCCAGCCACGTGGGC